GCAATGGGACCGCCTTCTTGAGCTTCGGGAACAACATGGCCAATTACGAATCCGTGTGAACCACCGCTGAAGCGACCATCCGTGAGGCAAGCCACATCGTGGCCGAGACCCGCACCCATGATCAAGCTGGTTGGCTTGAGCATTTCAGGCATACCGGGACCACCCTTGGGGCCTTTGTAGCGCAGAATCACCACTGTCTTTTCTCCCTTCTTGATCGAGTTCTGCTCCACGGCATGAACCATGTCATCTTCTGTGTCAAATACGCGAGCCTTGCCGGTAAAGTGCAGACCCTCCTTTCCGGTGATCTTGGCGATGGCACCGCCAGGAGCCAGGTTACCGTAGAGAACGCGGATATGACCCGTCGCCTTAATGGGGTTGTTGATCGGATAAAGCAGGTCTTGGTTCGTAGGCATGGGGCCACGCTCAGCCACCCAGCGCTCGCAGTTCTCCTTTAGCGTACGACCCGTCACAGTAAGATGTTCGCCCTTGATCATTTTGTTTTCAATCAAGTAGTGAACCACAGAAGGGATACCGCCCAGCATGGTGTGGACGTCTTCCATCACATACTTGCCGCTGGGCTTCAAGTTGGCCAAGAATGGCGTTTTATCACTGATACGTTGGAAATCATCGATGGTCAGTTCCACACCTACACTCTTTGCAATGGCAATCAAGTGTAGCACAGCGTTCGTGGAACCTCCCAGCACCATGGTCAGCGTGATGGCATCCTCAAAGGCACTCTTGGTCATAATGTCACGGGGCCTGATGTTCCTCTCCAGTAGATTGCGCATGGCAGCACCAATGGAATCACACTCCTTGTGCTTATCCGGGTACTCGGCAGGGAACGAACTGCTGCCGGGAAGGGTCATGCCCAGAATTTCAGCACATGATGCCATCGTATTGGCAGTGTACATGCCACCACAAGCGCCCGGCCCAGGGCAGGCGTGACGAACGGTGTCATAGCGGATCTGTTCCGCCTGATCCGTCGAACCGGATGCGAGGTACTGACCATAGCTCTGGAAAGCACTGACAATATCCAGAGGTCCAGAGACCGATCCGCAGTGGCCAGGGCGGATCGTGCCACCGTACACCATGATGCCCGGGCGGTTCAAGCGACCCAGCGCCATAAGGACACCTGGCATATTCTTGTCACAACCGGGCACCACCACACAACCATCGAGCCAATGACCACCCACACAGCTTTCAACACTGTCTGCGATCAGATCACGACTGGGAAGTGAATATGACATGGCGCTGGTTCCCATGCTAATACCATCCGATACACCCACGGTGCCAAATTGGTATCCGGTGAGTCCAGCATTCTCGATCGAATCGCGAATGCGCTGTCCGATACCAAGCAAATGGGCATTGCACGGGTTTCCTTCATACCAAACGCTTGCCACACCGACCATGGCACGCTTCAGGTCTTCATCGTTCTCAATACCCTTGGTCGCATACAACATGGCCTGTGATGCACCCTGATCTTTGGGGCGCGTAATCAGGCGCGAGTGGCGGTTCAAATCACCTGGAGGAGGACGAGATGACGCCTGAGAGCAGGCACAAGACGTTGAAAAACTTGCTTTGCCACAACCTGCCATCACAGTGCGCGAGACCAGCGACGCAAAGGATCGCATATTCTTAGATGCAGATGCTCACGAGTGACTCCGAAGACCAACTAATCTCTGCGCATTTGTTATTCGGCCGAACTATGACTCGCCTTCCCCAGGCGCATCCCCACACGCACGAGCGTTTCCATGCATGCGCTTGCATTCGCCAACAGATCGGCATCCCATCGGACACGCGAGCGTTCGACGAGGAGAACCAGTGTGCTCCCTCCGAATCGGAAGTAGCCGAGCTCGTCTCCTCGTTTAACAGAGTCACCTGCACGGATAGTGAATACGATAGAGCCCACCATCATTGCACCAATGGCCGTCAGAATTACAGTACCAAATTCCTTGGTGTAAATGGGAAGCACAGCGCGGGTATTCTCACCAAAAACGTCAATATTGCTGCGAATAGCCATCGGGTTGACGGTGTAATATTCGCCCTCGATACGCTGCGGCTCTCCCAATACACCATCCACAGGTGAATGAAATCGATGGTAGTCTTGCGGAGCGAGGCGGAATATGACCAGTGAAGGTTCCTGAGGTGCAAGATGCTGGTAGGTTGTACCAAGCAGTTTGCCGACCGAAAATTGACGTCCCTTGATCCACATGGCTGTGGCGCGACCGACAGTCTCAAAGGCAGAGAGGCGACAGTCTGCACAGCTGACTAGTACACAAGGGTTGTCAGGCTCATCCAGGGGCCTGAGCGACATGCGGATGCGCCGACAGAAAAAATCATTGAATGTGGTAAATGATTCCACAGGATCCACCATCTCCTCAACCTTGATGCCATGGAATGAGATGAATGGTGCAATGGCTCGCACACTGTTGGGATGGTCATACTTGAGTCCTTGCCGAGTAGTCATGTTCCGAAGCATTCGTCGAACCCTTGCACCATTCATGTGACTCTTTGCGCCCTGGTAAAGCAATCGAATACCTAATCGCACATACACCTGCATCTTTTCCTCAATCACTTGCCCAGTTAAACGGTCCTGCACCAAGATGTTGGCACTATTTGCACCGATGCGATAATGTCCTTGACTCAAAATCGTAAATGCATTGGTATACCACTTGCGCCGAGCTTGCGACGCAGTGACAAAGTTGGAAACCATGATGTCGTCCACAGAGCGACCCTTTCGAGAAGTACAAAGCGCTAGGTGCGTTACAATGTCAGTCTCCTCCGCTCTTGAAAGGCGTGGTAAGAGACATAGCGGGCATGTACTCAATTGAATCACACGTTCAACAGGATCCTCCTCGTCCTCTGAGTAAAGTTCATCGACCACATCTCCGTCAGTATCGATGCCGTGTACTATTTGTCTCTCCGGCTTGGGTCTGAGCAACTCCGTCTCCAAAGCCTGAATACCTTCGGAGAATGTGAGCTCATCTTTCCCTGCCTCTTTTCCAAAGCGCGAGAAAAAGCCCTTGATGGTCTTGTTAGTAAGGGTGCTTCCCAAACTAAGCAGCATCGTCTGCAGCTCATCAATACTAATACCGCCCGTTTCATTTGTATCATACAATCGCAACATTTCAAGCCAGAACCGCTGCCGTAAAGCATCATAGGGCTGAAAAACAGCCGACATTTGCAATGTAGGTTGTCGAAACCCAAACTTCTGCTCCTCATCCCCTCGCTCTCTTTTCAATGGCAGATTAAAGTAAATGGGCTGGGTTTGTTGCATGTTATCCAGACGGTACAATCCTGTCTCAGCATTGGGTATAGGCGCAGCAGACATAATATCATGGAGTTCCAAGCTAATTTCACCCACATAGTCGTTGGCCGACATTTTATCCCAGTCATATACAGCACATCGCACGTTAAAGCCCAGCTCATTCTTGTGGACATGGAGTAATAGCTTTTCGCGCCATTTGGGATTCAAGGTATGCCGAAGAACGCGAGTACGAAACACTTTGCGATGGAAAGATACAATCACGAAAGGATCCATATCAAAGGACGTCTTTGTAATGTTTCGCCATCGAGGTAAGTTGTGAGCACTGATGATTTCGATCATGACAATTCCCAACAAGTCATTTCTAGGGATGGTCTTGAGTTTAAAGCTGCCAGCCATTCGACGACGGTGACGCGCTCTTTCCTGCGGCTCTGCAGATGCAGAAACGCGTGAACGACTCCCAGAGTCTGACTTGGAGCCTGTCGAACGAGAGCTGGGCCGACCTAGCATCCTTGTTCGTTTGCGTACGTCTGTTTCGGCATCCGAGTCGCTGGCCAAACGGGCTTCAAGCCGGTTAGAAGCTTGATAAATTCGTGAAGATGGTAGGATACTAAGCTTTTCCTTCTGCTCCAAGGCATCTTTTGAAATAGGTGCTGCTCTGGGTTCACCGTCAGATTGGAGTGTGAGCTCATCCAGTGTTGTCCGCAATGGCTCCTGTTCTGAATCACTCGTAACATCTTCATCATTCCATGGTTCTTCATCTGTAATTCCATCATCAGCAAAATCCTCTGATTCCTCTCGCATACCAATAGGCTGTGTTGAGGAAGTGTGGTATGGATCCAAGTCCTCTTCACCCAGCATTTTTTGAAGAGCTCTGCTGGCCAGTATAACATCGCGACTATGTTGCACCGGAAGCAATCCAATCTGTATCTCGATGTTTGCCACCTTTTTGCCGTCGTTGCTTGTGAGTGAAATGTCAAGGGGAAAAGAAGGCCATGCCACATGCTCTGAATGAGCCATAGCCCATTTCCTAAGTGATAACGAGTGGTCGCAGACAAAACTTTTTTCATTGGCTTCGATGGACCAAAGTACTAATTCCAGTGAACCCAAAAGGTCTTGATGAAGGGAACTTGTAGAGCTGTTGCCAGAGCTTATTAGGGGCAGGGTACGAGTGGCCGTCCGGTACGGTAAAAGTAGTCCATACTTTGTGGCTCGAAATATCTGACGTCGTAAAGAGGACTTTTGCCTGTGATTCATTTGGGTTGTATCATCAATAGTTGGGTCCAAATGTTTCAACCACGATGCTCGGATCGGGTAGTCGAATATCGGATGCCCGCAATCCCACTGTTGAGAATCAGTAGGCGAACGAATAGGAGAAATAGATTTATGCTCAGATGGAACTCCGTGAAGGTATATGTCAAGCAATAGATTATTCTGAGCATTGTCATCCATAAAATGCAGACGTCCTAGCTGAACACGCAGTTTCACAACCACATCGTCACATTCTTCATGCTCTCCAGAAGCAATCGGTTGTCTTTGCTCTGCTCCAGTTGCTCCTGAATAGCTTTCTGTCATAATTAACTTGGGGGTCCGGTTATTTCATTCCTGATGGGCCGCGTGACGATTAGCAGCCCATAGGTTCAACGGCAGCTGGGAAAAGAATAGGGCAATAGGAAGCACAGACCTTCGATATCAGTCGGTGTATATACACGCATATGAAGCTTTGTTATCGGTGGTTCCGGTAGCTCAGGGGTAGTAGCGACAGATTGCAATCGAGCAAGTATCTGTAGGTCGCGAGTTCAAATCTCGCCCGGAACTCATTTTTGTCAACCATTGTCAGGTACCAGAACACGTATCACTACGACTTCAAGACTGCCAAACTAACACTGCATTAAATTCTTTACATAGATTAGTTATGACACATGGTAACTACAAGACCTGATCCTTTTGTGAAAGAAAAGGGTTTTCTTGGCGAGCTTTCTCAATAGCCTCTTCCAATCCATTCTCTTTTAAGGCGTGCTTTATGTTAATCAGCATGATACGAACCTGAATGCACGCTCTATATTCATTGAAGAATGCACCACAGTCTTTTTCATACTGGGCACGCAGCGCTTCAAGATTCTGAGAATTGTTCTGCGGTGAAGTGAAGAGGGAAGCTCGACCGGAGCGCCAGCTATCATTGTTTCTCTTCTTCTGTTCTGTATTAGTTTTGGATTCTGTGCTAGCTTCCAAATATAACTTGAACCAGTTGTGAAAACATTGGTCATATTTTTGTTTCAAGTGGGTGCATTCGGGAGACATGGAGTTCATTTGTCCAAGAGACAGAGCGCCTGGTATTTCTTGTCCTGACGCCATGTTCACAACGATAGCGGGGGAAGACAACAATGCGGGAGATGCGAAGGACCTGATGAACCCATAGAGGAAGCTAATCAGATCCCTACTTGCTTTCGTAAGCGACATGCCATTGTCTTGGCCGTCTCGCAACAAAAGGGACTACTAGCACGCGAATGGAAGAAGAACTACAGAACATGAAAACCACTATTTTCTTCGACATAGACCTAAACAGTTAGCAATGTGTTCTCGCCTGGTCACCCGGGATGAATTGAAGACGATGCCATCATATAGGAGCGAAAGACTTAGATGGTGATCTTGTTGTTCGCATTGGACGCATCCTAGAGTTGAACTATGCATTTTTATGGCTAATCATTTGGATACGTCTCAATCCCACACCCAAGGTGCCGAAGTCACACTTACCATCATCGTTGCATTCCTAAAGCACTAGTTCGGGCCTTGCCCCTTTAATAGGCCACGTGGTGCTGCGAGAACTCCGTGTTTGCAATGATGCTGGTTTAATTTGTTGCGACTACGTAAGCTACCTTGCTGCTGACGATTTTGACGTCCGTTATTGGCAGAAGGGCGGCGGAAGAAATCGGATCGGCCTGTTAGTGGCAACAGGCCGTGAACTGCGACCCGGACTCTTCGTACTTCACCACATTTAATATCATGGGTTTCTCTGAAGGCGACGCCAAGAAGGGTGCTAACCTGTTCAAGACTCGTTGCGCTCAGTGCCACACCACTGAGGCTGGTGGTCCCAACAAGGGTATGTATTCTTTATAATGGATTTTCTAACCCTCTCAGTCGGCCCCAACCTGAACGGTATCTTTGGCCGCAAGTCTGGTCAGGCCGAAGGTTTCAGCTACACGGCGGCCAACCAGAACAAGGGTGTCACCTGGAACGAGGAAACTCTTTTCGAGTACCTTGAGAACCCTAAGAAGGTACGTATAGTGCATTGGAGGAACGAATGCTAACCGCAACAGTACATCCCTGGGTATGTATTGGAACAACAGCTACGGCGCAGTGTGACTGTAGCCGTGTTGTTGCTGTACGAATGGATGCTGACACCATGTCTCTCTGCACGCGTTGCAATTGGATTCTCATATACAGTACTAAGATGGGTACGTATATTTACATTGGTCAAGATATCTAATAGAACAGCTTTCAACGGTCTCAAGAAGGACAAAGACCGCAACGACCTTATCACCTACATGCGTGAGGCTTGCAAGTGAAAGAATTCGTGTTCGTAGCTTTAACAGCTGTGTTTCGCGCTTAACTTGCTTTTGTAGCCGACAAATTTATTCAACATTATAACTGCGAGAGATGGCGCTGCCGGCAGGCTGGTGGGGCATGGTCTATAGTAGGCCTTGCGCTAGTGGCTTTCCTGACTGTGTGCTGTCATCCCTGTCACTGCCGTTGTATCCAACTCGCTCGCTCGGCCGGTGATGGGACACAAGCCGCAAATCGGTGATTCAAGACTCTCGTATAGAAAACTGTCCAATAAGATTTGATCTATCGGCCCAGGCAGTTGTACAAAAGGAGAAACAACAACGTGTCGCTAATTAACCCCGATCGGGTCGCTCGCCGCCAAGGTACATTTGGCACAAGCTTCGAATCTATTATCAGCTTTCGAGCAAATTTTACAGACGGGAGAAAATAGTAGGTCGATTTATTGAGAGGCTCCTCTGTCTATTGGTTCATAACGGCGGATCATTCATAAGCCTACCTCAATAAATCCTACCTCCTTGCGTGTTGCAATAGCGCCTCCTGCAATCGAACAGTTTAGCTAAAGCATCCGTTCGCTTTCATCTTTTTTACAAACAAAGCGCTATCACCTTGATAAAAGCAAAAGCTTGTACAAAAATTGTCGAGGCGTTGGTGTAATATGTCGAACATCTCACACGAGCGTTCAGCTCTTACAGATGAGAGGAGTTCGGCGACGGCCATGAGCCAAATGCATACGCGTGGAATTCCATTGACTCAATCGAATGTGGCGCAGTCATCCAATTCTACCAGTTCAACCGCTTCCACCACGCTTTCTGTACCATCACCGCCTCCGCCGGCCCCGCTATCTTCGTTGCATGGACAACCCTTGCATACAACCGAGTCCAGCGGCGAGCAGAGCATCCGAGAGACTCGTGCACAAGATGCTTCTAATCCTGCGTGCGTAAACTATACTGCGCCGCGGAACGCAGCGCCTTTGAGTGCCGTTCCTTGGCCAGCAGCCTCAAATGCCTCAATGGACCCGAGTATGTTATATTCCCTGGAACGCGTATGTGCTGTGTGATTGACTGCTAGATTCACTCTGCTTCGATGGCCTTGTGCAATTGTGTGGCAGAATATTTGAGTGCACAGGACCATGTACCGCGACCGGATGAACTGTATGAACTTTTGCCCATTGTGTCGGAGATCAATCAAGAGGTCCGCACATTGACTACTTCGCAGGAAGGTCGTGCAGGTCGCGACTATATGGAAGTATCTCCTTATTACCCGTGGTTGCCTGGAAGCAACACATACTGTACGTGCCACTGTGTCAATTGACCTCAGCCACACCAACGTATTGGTCACCAAACACCCGTGACGAGCGCGAAGCAAAGTCTATGCGTATTGATGACGGTGAGTTTACACAAACTAATCAAGCAGGCAAGTCTTCTCAACTGCAGCGATGTAGTTCCAGTGTGTGCGACAAGTCAGATCGTGCCATGCAACGCGGATTACGTGCATCCGCCGGAGCAGAAGAACATGGATTGACTGGGCGGTATGGCAGCGAGCACACAACAATATCCCCAGCAGAAGGTTCTCGAACGGATCTGTATGCGTCGTACCCTGTTCGAACGTCAAAGAGCAGTCTCAATGACATGAATAACTCGCAGCAAACCTACGTGCCCAAATATAAGAAGCGAAGTCGTGCACCAGCACCGGGTGTGTGTCATTCGTGTGGCAACAGTGACACACCCGAATGGCGTCGTGGTCCAGATGGTGCACGTACACTTTGCAATGCATGTGGACTGCACTTTGCTAAACTTGTGCGTCGCCGCACGCTCGAATATGCTAGTGCAGCTCCTGGCGTTCCTATCCCTCCCGTCACCATCGCTGAACTCCGGCAATCGACAAATGTCAACACAAATGCCCCGGCAGTTGTACAAGCAGATGGTGAACGTGCTCGGATTATCTCCGAAGCCGCAGCATCAACCCCCTTGTCAACAGCGACAGAGGTAACAAGTGGATCTCATGAGGCAGAAGACTCTTCCAACATGGCACATATGCGCCCTTATCATGAAAAGCGGTCGCAAGTCTCCTCAAAAGCTGGGCATCAGGATGCGCCCCTATCATAGTTGGACCTTTTTCTTCCATGGTTGGGTTGTGTTTCTGGATCATCAAACGCTGTTAGAGTACCTCGAGCGAGTAAGAGACCCTAAATCAAATAGAAAGGACATGCCTAATGTATTTTGACGCAGGCGCTATGGCGCAGCTATAAAACGTTACAGAGCAAAGGCAGCGAGATGTGGCCACGGCACGCACAGAGATACGACAAAAGACCCCAAGGTATTGATGCCAATAAAGTCCGCCCATCACGAAGCCAGGCACCGTTTCGTTTAACGGTAGCGCCTGAGCTGGAGGGTCTGCCGCCTGCGGTATGCAGCGTTCTTGCCGCCACCAATGGTGTTGTTGAAGCGGTGACCCTTGGCGATACCACGGCTCTTGACACCGGCCGCAGTGAGACCGCGCGCCTCACGGTGCTTGTGCACAGGGTTGGCGATCCAGTTAATGCGAGCATCGCGGCGGATAGCCTTGTGCTGGGGGTCAACGCAAATCACCTCAAAGTACTTGTAGACACCGTCTTGGTTCACCCAGTACGAGTTCAGGACACGAAGGTTGCTCACCTTGCGGCCGACACGCTCCTCAGCAAGAGCACGGAGAGAGCGCTGAGGCTTCAGGTGGTTCACACCCTGGCGGACGGGCTTACCGTAAGTGGCACCCTTCGAAACGTGCTTCTTGCGGTTGCCACGGCGGACACGCACACGGTAAATGACGTAGCCCTGCTTGGCCTTATAGCCAAGGCGGCGGGCCTTGTCAGGGCGCGAAGGGCGCGAGGCGCGGTGCACCACGTTCAGCTGGCGGTACTCCCAGCAGCTACATGTAAGTCATGAATTGTCACACGTACCGAACACGAAGGAGGAAACGGAGCACATCGCTCTGCTTCTTCTTGTACAGCTCCTCAAGGTACTTGTAAGCGCCCATCTGAATATAATGTTAGTATGCTTGTTCAACGAAAGGCGTGAAGTACAATTTTACTTGTACCTCATTCACCAACATACCTTGATGGTCAGGGAACTGGGATGGTAGGAAGCAAGTGGATTCCGCCGACTCTGCTATCCTGGTGCGTGGTGCTTACACCTTTTTCTTCCTAATAGGCCACACTTGGTATGGAAAAATAGAATGCACGTGATGGAGCGCTAGGGATTGTAGTTCTGTACTTCGGC